GGATGCACCTAGCTCTGAGGAGAGCAAAAGGAAGGAGACTTACCCAGTTTTCGCCAGTCTCTAATTTTAACTTAGTTAATGTTTTTCTAAGGTCCAATTTATTCTCTCTACCTGTCCAGAACTCTGTAGCCTATAAACACAATACAATTTCCAAGTAACTCTCAGGGCCTTAACTATGGATTGTGTAACTTTGGTGATAAACGCTGGGCCATTGTCGGACCCCATGTATAGTGGTAGGCTAAACCGGGGGACAATTTCAGTGAGGAGTTTCCTAACTACTGCCTGTGCTGTCTCTGCCTTGGTTGGATATGCCTCAGGCCAGTCAGAGAAGGTATCAATGAAAACCAGCAGGTACTTATACCTTCCTTGTCCTCCTGGTGTCTTAGTGAAGTCCATTTCTCAGTGTTCTCCGGAGTTCTGACCTCGGAATCGCTGCCCCGGCATGGCCACAACAGGGGGCCCTTGATTTACTCGGGCACATACTTGGCACTTTCTAATCAAGTCTGATAGTTTCGTTCCCCCAAGGTGGGTACTCTGGTGGGTCTGGGAAGCGATGGTTCGCCCCAGGGCTTCTGGCACTATAGGCCTCCCATCTGACAGAATTAGCCATCCAGCCTCTTCTTCCCGGGCCCTTAGTTTCTCAGCTAGCCTCTGCTCCTCCGGCAGATGAGTAGGCTTCTCTGGGAGCCTTTGTGCTGGCAGGGCTATGAGAACTTCTAGGGGCCCTACTGGTCTTTTAGCCAATTCCTTGGCCTCCTGTAAGGGCAGTGTAAGGAGATACATCCTTGCAGTCCCTGGGTAGGTCTGGCAGGGCCAGTGCTGGGGAGCTCACCAGGGCTTCTTAGATCTCCCCTGGCTCCTCCTCATGTTACTACTGCCGCCCCCGCATACCACATACCGGGTGATGTCCATGTAGAGGGTTTCATCCGGATTCTGCAGGGGCTGGTCCACAAGGTTCTTGCGGAGGAAAGTGAGGGTAGTCAGTGTCTCCTCGCAGTCATGCAAAGGGGCCTCTGCCTCCACGTCAGGGAGGAGTGTGGCAGGGTTCAAGGCAGCTTTTTTCAGGAAGCTAAAATGTTCACTCTTTTTCCTTTTTCCCACCAGAGGGCCTGAGTGAGTGCTATGAGTTTCACAAGGAAGTCCACCTTGTGGCCCCCCACACTGTCAGGGTTATCCTGGGTTCTTGGGGGCCAGCTGAGCCCTGACAACCCTAATCCACCTCCTTCACCAACATGGGAGTCGGTTCCCTCGCACTTTTAGGGCATTTCTGTTTCCAATGTCCTTCCTTTCTGCAAAATGCACATTGATTTTTCCCAAGCCGGGGTTGGACTCCTTTTCTCCTGCGAGGCTTTTCTTGGCCCTTGTTGTTTCTCTGGCCTCTTGGGTCTTTTTTTTCTTTTTTTGTTTAAGGCCAGGAGGACCTTGGCCATCCGGGTGTTTAAACCTGCCTTCGGGTCCTCCCGATTGTTGAAAACCTTCTGGGCCACCTCAGCCAACTCAGAGATTGATTTCTCCTCAAAGCCTTCTAACTTCTGTAATTTTTTAATATCTGGGGTCGACTGGGAAACAAATGTAACATTGACAGCCCTCCGATTTTCCGGGGCATCAGGGTTAGGCCCCTGGACTGTCTCTGTCATTTTAGAGAGGTTTGTGGGTCTCCAAGCAGCAGCTTGGATGCCCCCTAATAGAGTCTGGCGGTACCGGTCGAGAGCCTCCTTTCCCCTGTCACTATTGGGGTTTCAGTTGGGTTGCCTGGAGGGAAACACAGCCATTAATCTATCTTTAAATGGTAAGAAGAAATTTACAATGTGTCTATAATTAAATAGATAGGTATAGCTGTTCCCTGTAGTAGGGCTCCCCTTATTTGACTTGTTCTCTCAGAATGGACTAAAGGAGCTTTATTTCCTTATAGGGTCTTACATGTCACAGGACCTCACAGGGTCTGTAATTCCTGTAACAGAGGGCCAGTATTCACTACTTTACTAACCCCCTCTGTTCTAGACAGGCCTTCCCCAGTTTCCTACAGTTGAGGTTTTGTGCCACCCCTGACATGGGCATGGTCACACAGGCCTGTAAGACAGTATACAGGTAGCTTAACCCCTATACAACTGGGCTTGGACCTCTGTCTAGCAAATTGCAGTCTATAAGTTCAATATGCAGCCTCTGGTCCTCCTAACCCAACGAGGTTTCAGCTAGTCTCTGAGTCAGACTTCTCCTCTCTTGGAGAATTTCAAAGTCCTGATAACTCCCAGGTCCAGGGAGAGTGCCCTTTTCTTAACTTTGTTTATTAGTTACAGGGCCCTGCTTTTCTTGTCTTTCCACAAGTCCCCTTTTATGGCAGAGCAGCGACCAGGCCTCTTTGAAGGGAGTGCACTGGAAGGGGCTATCAGCCCCTCCTCTTCCAGCAGCAACAGGTACTAAACCCTTTCAGTACATTTGCAAGCAGGGAGCTTTTACTACCTCTATCTGCAGCTTTCATAGATCTCAGGCTTGCTACGCTTTCTGGGGCTGTAGGAAGGCTAGTACTAGTCACTGGCTTCTGGCTTAACTGCTATAGCTTGCAAGCCAAAGGCCTAAGTCTTGCATTGCTTGTTGTAAAACATTCATTTTTGACTGGGCAGCAGCAGGGCAGCTCTAATGTCAGGTAAATTTCTGCTGTTCTCTACTTTCTTGCTGCTGCTGCTGCTTTTTTTCAGGGCCACTGCAGGCAGCTCAGGCATCCAGCCCCCCTTCTTTGATCATTTACTCCCCAATCTAGTCTGGAGCTGGGGAATAGTGTCTCGATCCGCCTTGCATCCCCAGAGGGCTGCCCGTCTGGCAGATCTAGAGGGCCGACCTGCCGTAGTGGCAACATAGGAACTGCAGGACTGGCAGATGTCACAGGGTCCTGCAGGTTCTCCCCCTCTCTCTCTCTCCCTCCATACGCTGTCCCTGTCTAGTATGGGATGGACTGAAGGGGTTGAAGGACGACAAAGCCCCTTCCGTCGGTGGGTGCGGAGGGAAGACAATTGGCATTGGGGGAGGCAGGGGCTCCGGGTCAAGAACTGGTGGCATGGTCTGGGCTTGAGGCCGGGGCTCATCCAGATCTGATGCCTGGGGACCATAGGGGGGCAGCTGGCTAATGGGTTCCTCCTGCTCTCCCTGAAGGACCGGGGAAGCCTTTCCCTTCTTGGGCCCGGCCAAAAAATTGTCTGTCTCTGTCCCAATTTTCCCCTCGGGAGGCAAGCCCTCATCTACCGGGGTTTCTTGGACAATATGTCAATTCAAACCTGAATATAAGGAATTTGATCAGGATGCCCTGGGCTGCCGTATATGTCATAATGGACCCGGTAGGCAGTGGTCAGATCAAAAGACCCTGCATCCGGCCACCCCTCCTGGAAAGTGGGCCACTCCCGTTTACAGAATCACTGTAAATCAAAAGCATTAACATTCTAACCTTTAAATCTACCCTAGAACTTCAGTTTAATACAGTAAATTTACAACCTAGGTTAGATCAACTGATAGAAATCTTTATTAGCTAAGTGGGCTGATTCCCCTTTAATAGTGAGCAAAAGACTCTGAGAAAAAAAATAATTCTCGCAGCTGCAAGAGGCTTTTGAAAGACCATTAAGGGGCCAGCCCAAACATTCAGCCAAGCGTATCAATAGAAAGTAGAATAAATCAAAGTAGCTTTTACTTCACATAGACCAGTAATGATTTACACTTTCTTAGTAGCCTAGCCCAGGCTGGAGCTGTATCCAGCTGTAGTAATTTGGCTAGTCCCACACAAACTTTGTCCCGACCCCATGATGATTGGTGGCGAGAGACAGACAAGGAAGGGGGTGACCTGTTTTTACAGATCCTCATGCAGATGCCCACCTGACTGAAGTCATGGAGCCACACAAAAGAGAGGAGAGGGAAGGCCCCCTCCCTCCACACTCACATACTTTCACCAGACATTCATTCAGAGTTTAAACAATCCATCTAATTCCTAACAATTTTCCAATTCCTGAGAGAGCTCTATAGCTTCCCGGGAGGTGATCAAGCTCCCCTTCCACTCACTCGGAGTGGGCCTGACTGATAGGGGGTCGACGAAGATGACTGACCCTATCCCATTTGACAAAGACAAAGACAACAAAGAACAAAGACAAAATAAATCAGCCAAATGCAACCTAAGGTTGCCTGGAACCTGCAGCTTGCTCCTTGAAGTCCTGAAAATTTTCAAAAAACATTGCAGCAGGGTACACACAGAAGCAGACAACTTTTTGACAATAAACACCAAAACAAACAAATACCAGACAGACAAACCCAGTGCAGCCTACAGCCGCACGAACCAGGGACCCCGGCCACCGTCATGGCCGCGGGTCAGGACCAGAAGTACCGCTGCGTCCAGCCCTCTGTATAGGTCCTTCCATGGGACATCCCAATTCCTGTTTAACGACCGGTCCTTACCTCTCTCGAGAGTCCAGGTGGCTCGGTTTCCAAATTGAAAGTTTTTGGGTGGACTGGAGGCCTCCTTGGTAGTCATTCTCCACAGGTGTGGGGTATCTCGCTGAGTGCCCGGCGACAAGTGGGGGAGAGCCTCCTGCCTTAAATAGGGGGTCCCTCTCCTCCCTGCCGGGGGAGAGCCTCCTGCCCTAAATAAGGGGTCCCTCTCACCCCTGCTGGGGGAGAGCCTCCTGCCGTAAATAAGGGGTCCCTCTCACCCCTGCCGGGGATCTCGCTGTGGTCCTCCAAATGTTATGGGTTAGCTCAGCGAGATAGACCACCGACTCAGAATTTAAATTTTAAGAGCCTTTATTAAGCTGACCAGCTGACTGCTAGCCGTGTCCTTCCCATAAGAGCCCACAGCTTGCAGTGCAGACCAAGAGTACAGCAAGACCTTTTATCTGCAACACTACAAAGTATTTTTTAAAAAAAGAAAAAAACTGCAAAGCGGGTCATTAGCCGTTCCTGGTACTGGCAGGGTAAAAAGTTTACATAAAATTTAAGAGCAGGGTCACACCTGGCTGGGTTCAATCATAACACATTGCTTTTCTAGCGAGATAATTAGCAATTTTTCTCTCCCATGGTCCCTGCCCCTCAGTTTACTTAGTAATTCTTTTTTGTCAGGCCCCTGCCCCTAGCACACAGTACAGGGTACAAATGGGCAGAGAACGGGGGGACAGCCACCAAAAGAAGGAGAGGGTGGGGCAGGGGCCACCTGGGGACTTCATCTAGCTTCCCATTTCCACTAACTTCATGACCTCTGCCCAGATGTCACCTTAATGCCTGCCCTCTTCCCTTTGCTGCCGTGGAGGTGGTGAACACCCCTCCCTCCCCGAGTTCCCAGACATGATGTACTGACCTTGGGGCTAAAGAGGCTGCTTCACAACAGAGCTCCACCAACAGTGGTAATTTATTGAAAAAGGGAGTGTGACCACATTGGCCTGGTGCCATTTTTACAGCCTCCCAGCTAAGAAGGCTGTTAGGTATTTAAAAAGTTGAAGAAATAAAAAGAAGAAGAATGTTTAATCGCCATATAAGAAGGTCAATAAAATTCAAATTTCAGTGTTCACGAAGTTTTATGGAATTCAACCTCACACATCACTTACATCTTGTCCATCCACCATTTCCTTTGTAAGTGACTGAGATCGTGTCGTCTGCTAAGCCTAATCCACTATCTGGCTCTGTTCTATGAAACCCCAGTTCCTATTTCCCCCCCAGCCACTGTCTCTGCTTTCCCCAAGGCCTCACCCCATCCCACCTCTGTGACCATTTTCTCTTCTCCTAACTTGTCCATGTCCCCTCCCACCTTCCTTCCCAGCCCCTTCATGCCTCCAAAATTCCCCCCAGAACTTCCTCTCTCAGGTGGGGATGGTGATGGGTGTCATTTCTTATAGCCTATGATGAAATCAGAGCATATTTCTGAATAATATAAGGAATTCTACACCCAGCTTCTAATGTAATATATTTCTTCCCTCAATGTGTAATATCACAGTCCACTCATCTTCCTTCCTATAAAACCCTCCCAAGTATCCAGGATTGTATCTAGCTAAGTTATTATTTACCTCCATGATATTTAACAAATCAAAAAAGAAATATATTTTCCTTTGGATTTTATTTATCTAGAAACACTAGGAGAACATGAATGACATGTCTAATGTAAGGAAGAGATATGAAAACTGAACTTAAGCAAAAAGCACATAAGTTTCTTACAAACCCAAAAAGAGATGGTGAGTTTGGAAAAAAGAAGCCAATTGTAGAAGTCAGCTGAAAATGCTGCTCAGCGTCTTTAAGGAATACACAACTTAATTAAAAGGACAAAAAAAATAAAAATGCATATCACAAGGAAAGCAGATAACCCAATGTTATTACGCATCCACTTTCTGACCCTGAGGAGCACCTTGAACACCCAGTGACTCTGGGACTCCTTCAGGATTCGCTCTTGATTTTCAACATAAGCTTTCACCTTGGCCAGGAACCACCTGGGCTCTTCTCCAGGGGTGCTGACCCTGCCTTCCTCGAGCATCTGTGCATCCAAGTAGAGCTCGTTTGTGTAGTAGGCGCCCTGGTGCTCTCTCTCCAGGCTCTCGACCACAGCCATCAGATGCTCCAGCTGCTCCCTCTGCTCCTCTCCGGTGGCCCGGTTGTTGAAGCCACAGTACCTCCTCCCACACTCCTGGATCAGGCACCTCAGGCTGTGGTTGTCCGTGTTGACTACATAGTCATCCAAGGACCCGTCCCCTAAGTCCTCCTTGTGGGTGAAGACGACCACCACATATCTCATGGCTCCTATCCCAAAGACCTCCTTCACCCTCCTCACTGCCACCGTGTCCTGGGCAGTGAAGCGCCCCAGCTGTGTCACTAGCAGCAACACCTGTGGTCCTGGGACTGAGAGCAGGTAGCAGTCCCCGATGTCCTTGTACATCTCTTGGTTCTTGGCCTTTGTCTCAAAGATGGAGGGCGTGTCAACCACCAGAATGTTCTTCCCATTCCACGTGCCTGTGGCCACCTGGCATCTCCTGGTCACGGTCTGGGCCCCCAGTTTGGACTCAAACACGGTCTTGCAGAGGATGCTGTTTCCAGTAGCACTTTTCCCGCAGCCGGATTTGCCCACCAGGACCAGCCTCAGTGAGGATGATGATTCAATTCGGCTATCTTCTACACAGCCTGAAAAAGAAATATTGTGTGTCTTACTAAGCCAGTGTTGCTTCAGATTTTTTGGTCATGGACCCTCGTGTACCTCGTGGAGGTCCAGCAAATCTATGGACCTCCCTCCCAGGAAACTGTCTTATCTAAATACATACACAAATTTACTGACAACTGCATGAGGTTCCTGGACCATAGAAAGTCTACATAGGAAGCCCACGTTGGACCCATAGCCAAGAGTAAGAACTGCTACACTGACGAGGTCACTCCAAACCTTTCAGCCAAACCAGGGAAGATACAGTTTTTCTGAAAGTAAAGGGGTCCCTGTGTTTTTCCAGGGATGGTTTCTAGGCCAGTTTCATGCTAAATAAATGTGATATTAAAATGAGACAGAGGATGAGAACTCACACCTGGCAAAATATTACCACCTCTTTTTCACCCACAAATTCCCAGGCACACATGTGTAGAAGTGCTCAACACATTCATCATTTATCTAAACCTTGGGATGAAAGGGAGTCTCAGATATGACCTCCCACCAAGGACCAGCCTAGGTCCCTGGGCCTCTGCTCTCTGGGTGGGGAGTTGGATGCTTGAAATTGAGACAACAGAAAGGTCTTAGATAATGTTAAAGGCAAAGCCTAGGAGATGACTCAGGATGGGTGGCTGAAGAGGCCTGGAAGTTAAGACCTTTAGTAGTACATGTGATGGAAAGGTCACCTGCATGGCTGATTGAGTTACAGGAAGTTAACAAAAGTGATGCTGGGGAGGGAAACACTGAGCCAAGAGCTAAAACCTTCAAGGGATGAAGGAAGATGAGTACTGGAGATGTTCTAGAGTTCTTATCAGCTCAAATGGATTCCACATTCACTGTAGGCTTCTAAAATCTATTATTTTATTCCTATTCTATGTTGGTTGTTCCTTTTCTGCAGTGTCTGGGATGTTTTTGTAGCAAACATGATTACTAAATCTCTCTGGAAAACTTTTCCATTTCTTCAGCTCAGAGCAGACAAGGAAAGAGAAAATTTATTTACAATTCAGTTCAAAATCCTGCAACTTCTGACTTGAAGTTTCATTTCCACATTTATCACAGGTGATGTGCCTGGAGAGCATTGTACTGGGGGTCAGGTGTGTGTGTGATGATGGTTGGGAAGGTAAAGATAAAAACAAATATTATATTTTCCTTCTTCCATTTAAAATCACTGGGTTTCTGTCACTGTGTTTGAGGTGAGGGACTGGTGACTTAAAAGAACTTGGCGTCTTTCTTACCTTTTGCCATACTTCCATAGTTGCTCTTCAGAAGTCCTTCCATTCTCTTCTGGAAGAAGCATAGGAAAAGAATAAAAGCAAGTGTCTGATACCCTTATAATTAACCCAGTTTTAAATAACTGAAAAGGAGCAAAGGGAATGCCAAGTATTATAGTCATTGGTGCAACTTTTCCAGGAAACTGCCGTTTAACACATGCCAGTAAAGTTTGGGTGACAGAGGGAAGGTACTTGCTTGTCAGTCACAACTGGGAACAGGTCATTGGGCAGAGTAGGCGTGGCCACTGCAAGCACCCAGAGATTTGAGATATTTAATCTCCTAATCAAAAGTGTTAGCTCCATTACCTCCTCCTAGAGCTTGACTCCTGGCCTTGGGACTCTCAGGCTCCTGATTGCTTGCATTTGCCACATGCAATGACCCACACAATGGGCTGATGGACTGCAAATACCCTGATGTTGTGCCTGACCCAAGTCCACCAAGGAAAAGAAACTTTGGACACTGACTTTGCTTCTAGCTCTACTGAATCCTCAGCTGCTCCTCTTTTAGCACTGCATTGAAGGCAATGGGATTGAAACCCTGGATAAAATTCCATGCAAATAAAAATCACTCATCCTGCTGAGTGATTCTTTTTGCATATCTTATTCTCCCTCTGAAGCCCCTGGAAATGCTTATTCTAGCAGTGCCCCAAGAACCCCATTCCCATTAGTAATCCATGCAATTGTCTGATAAGATTCCACTTGGGAGTTGGTAAGGCCTGAGGCCACCTCCAATTCAGACACCTACTGCAAATTCTCCATCGAGGATCCATTTTCATTGTTAATTTTCTAACTCACATTATACTTGCAAACATCAATAATTAACTTTCAGCAAACTAGGTGATGGTAACACAGTGCATTGTTCTCACAATGCTTGGTGGCTTTCTTTGTTAGTTTTGTTACTTAGCTTACAGGAAAGTAGCAAATGTTTAAAAGCAATCAGTTGCGTATGTCCCTCCAACTGGAAAAGGCATGAAGTGAAAAAAGCATTCTTTATGGAATGAGGAGGGAACATTATCTTATTTTATGTTTTGGAATCAAAGTAGGCTAACTTTCTGGAAACAGTACTGTCTCTCATGTCAGTCCTTGAAGGACTCATGTCCCAGATCCAACCTTCCCCTGGGAAGGCGCACTGTACTTTTCCTCTTGGCCATTGGATACCCATGTGACACATAGCGTGTCAGGCACTAGAAATTCTCACTACTTCAAACAAGCCAATGTCATTTGCAGCAAGGCAATTTCTTTCTCTGTTCTAGCAAGTTTGTGATTAGCCCTCTGAGCAGTTAGTTGGTGGAGAGAAAGGGGTGCCATGGCCAAAGAGAAAGCATCAACACTGAGGACAAATTCAAGAACAACTCACTTCCTGCTCAGTGTTTAATCAACTGTTTTTCCTGGCTGGCTCTGAGGTCCTTGTCTCCCGGTGATCACCATTTTGTGTCTCAGTAGATTTAAACAGAAATTGGCACTACCACTGGCTTCAATTGGCATAAATGTTTCCTTCAAATGAGGCATAATATTGTGTCACTCATCTTGCTGTTAGAAAAGGCAAGTATATCACATACAGCTACACCTAAGATGAGGTTGTATTTACTTATTCAGTTTTAAATATTATGCGGTTATGAAACATATTTTTAAGTGAAGAAATACACAGTTATAAAACCAAACCTACAATTTGCAATGAACAAATGTAAGTATTTTGGTATTTTTACTGAAGCTTTTCTGTTTGATTAAAAAGCTAACACATTACACATAAAATTTCACTTATTTATTTTTGACTCCCCAGTCTCTTTCACCCTCCCTCTGCCCTTCAGAGGCAACCAATATTCTGAGGTTTTTATGTATCATTTCATGTATGTAATTATAGTTATATATACACACACATGTATCTATAGGTTATGTCTAATACTGTTTTTGCATTTTAAACTTTTATATAAATGACATTATTTGTGTAACATTTTATCCAATAATATTTTTAAAAAGAAGGTCTTGTTACTTTTTAAAATAATATTTTTATTGATTTCAGAGAGAGGAAGGGAGAGAGAGAGAGAGAGAGAGAGAGAGAGAGAGAGAGAGACTCAAACATCAAGGATGAGAGAGAATCATTAACTGGCTGCCTCCTGCATGCCCCCCACTGGGGATCAAGCCCATAACACCGGGCATGTGCCCTCGACTGGAATTGAACCCAGGACCCTTCAGTCTGCAGACCAACACTCTATTCATTGGGCAAAACCAAAGAGGACCAGTTACTTTTTAATATACGTTTTTATTGATTGAGAGAGAGAGAGAGAGAGAGAGAGAGAGAGAGAGAGAGAGAGAGATAAATTGGTGTGAGAGAGAAACATTGATCGGCTGCCTCCCGAACATGCCCCAACCAGAGATTGAACCCAGGTATGTGCCTTGACTGGGAATTGAACCTTCGACCTTTTGGTGAATGGGAAATTCTCAACAAACTGAGCCACTTTATTAACAACATTTGAGCTGTCTCACATACATGCTTGCTGCAAAATAATCCCCACTTACTATATATCTCTGTGCAACAATTGACCTGGGATAGACAGCTCCCACCTGACTAGATACTGTCAGTATGACTCAAGAGCACCGTGCAAATTCTCACTGACACCAGCCCTGTGTGAGAAGTCCCCAAATCTACATTTGTACTTGGCAATATTCGACTTTTTAAATCACCCTTATGGGCATACATAAGGATGACTTCATCCATTTACACTTGCATTTTACTGGTTACCACTGAATTTAAAAAGGGTGTTTGTAGTCTGTTTGCTATTCAGGTTGCTTCTGTTATATAGAAAGAATGCTTGCATGTTTTTCTATTCACTTAGTGATTTTTTGGGCCTCCTTAGGAAAACCATCCATTTTCACATCATCAGATGTGAACCTTCCTTCCTACCTTCCTCCTTTCTTTTTCCCTTTCCTCCCCCTTCTGCCCTCACTCTCATAAGCCCAGAGAAGAGCATTTCCTCACCACCCGCTCTTATACACTGTCCTTGACTCTGGGAAATTATACTCTGGCTCTTGCTAAACCTGCTCCAATCTATGACACATTTTCTACTTTAAATGACCTTCTGTGAGGTTTGGAAACCTCAGAAAATATGTTTGAATCAATCTATCGCTGTGGCAAAGACGATGACAGTGGTGACCATGTTGATGGTGAACTTCTTCATTGTAATAACCCTCTGGGTGGCCACTTATAACTTTATAAGTTCTTTCCTGTCCATTTTTTTATTCTTTTCCTAAATTAATATAGGTTTAAAATTTTGATTTAAAATATTAGGAAACTGAGCAACAAATGACCGGCCCAAGATCACACAATTGTCTTGTAAAACTAAAACTGAAAACCAGCTCCTTTTGCCAGCCAATTCTCCTTGGTTTCCACAGGAGGAAAGAAGATTAATCCAAATGAGTCCACAGTCTCTTGGACCCCACATTCAATGTGGTTGTCTCATGGTCAGGACATAAACTGAGGCTGACAAGCTGGAAGCCTTCCCCAAACCCACAGAGACACTTGTATTGTAAAATCTATGCTTTTCCAAGAAAAGATTATTCGAAGAGAAAACTGCAGGGGGCAGGAGCTGCTCTGAATTGAAGCATTTCAGTGTAAACCAATCTGGTGTTTTACTGACTTGAGTATTAGTGTGAAACAAATGGAGCAGCGTGCCTGACACAGAAAGTCAATCAAACTCAGGTAGCATTAGCCAAGAGGCAGGGTTGTCATTCTCCTGGACCGTCTTCTGATGTGTCAGGCGGCAGAGGAGTCGTGTGTCCACAGGGAATAGCTTTTAGGCAGAAATTATCAAATACAAAGTGTCCTGGGAGAGTGACAAAAGATATTGATGTAGATGCTAAAACGAGTCGCAGAGAAAATATTAACAGAACTGAATAAAGCCTAGGAGAAGACTGGGGGAAGCATGCTGACCTGCAGGAATCAGGTGCAGGTCAATCTCAGAGCAGCAAAGGTGTCAGAGTAGGCAAGAATGTGAGGATCAAGAATGGAGGCAGATTCCTTCTCTAAAAGAAAAATTCTAATCTCTAAAATGGGGCCAGGTATTATCAGAGAGTGGCAGTT